GACTGTAAGGCATTGTCTTAATTGCTAATTGATGCAGGAAGGCCAGCCCAGTATGGGTGTGCTGTCCCCAGGTAGGTGGGCCTGGCCTGTGTAAGAGGGGTGGCTGAGGGAACAAGCCAGTGAGCAGTGCTCTTCTGGTCTCTGCTTGAGTTCTTGCCCTGACTTCCCTCAATGATGGACTGTGGTGAGGAAGTATAAACCAAATAAGCCCTTCTCTCTCCCAAGCTGCATTTGGTCAGAGTGTTTATCACAGCTACAGAAAGCAAACTAAAACAGAAATTGATTGATGTCGCTGTCCTTCATTCTCTGTAAACTCCTTAAAGGCAGGCTTGGTATTGCCTGTACTGCTGTCTCCTTGGTGCCTAAAATAGTGAATGCTCATGCATTCAACCAGACTTCCCAGGAGAGACTCTGCTGTGTCTATCAGGACTAAATGCTGTTCAGTCAGGTTTGCACCCCTGCTTCATCCCACCGGATGGTGTGGTCCTCTTCTTTGATATCCTTCCTGCTTGGATCCTGCACCCTCCAGAGCTTTATGCTTTGTTTTCTGGTTTGTGAGAAAATTTTTGCCAGATTTTGCCAGATTTTGCCACTGTGGGACAGTTGCTTCCCGTTTCAGCATTGAAAGGAATGAAAGGTAGCAGTATTTTGGCAGTCTTGATTGAAATTTTTTATTGTATGTTCTCTTTGCTGGGTGCCCCTGGCTCACACCCCCATATGCTTTCTCTTCTTGTTCCTCCCTGTCCTGGTCTCTTGTCCCTCCTTTCTGTCTCTGAACTTTGTCATTTCGGAGCCTGATTAATGAGTTCTTGTGGCCGAAAACTTTCAGTGCACCTGCTTTGTGTAATCTTTCTTTTTTTCTTATGGGTGGACAGAAAGATGAGAACCATGCTGGACATTCTTGGCTCCCTTCATTTTTTTATTTAATTAATATCTGAAAACCCAAGTATAAGAATTATTTCTGGTCCTGGGCTGTCTCAGTAAACAAAATACTCAAGTTCTCACAGTATATTTGGGGAGACAAAAAAATTAGTTGGGTGTTTTTCATTCATTTATTTATATCTTTAATGAAGCTAGAATACAGTGATGGGTGAAAACAAAAATAATTCTTTTTTTCACACTGGGTCTCCCTGTAGCCCCAGCTGGCCTGGAACTCTCTGTAGTTCAGACTGACCTCGATCTCACAGAGATCCACCTGCCTCTGCTTTCTGAGTGCTGAAATTAAAGGCATGCACCACCATGCCTGACTTTTTTGTTTGTTTAAGAATTATTACTTTGGGGCCTGGAGAGGTGACTTAATGGTTAGGAGTACTGTCTGCTCTTACAGAGGACCTGGGTTTAATTCCCAGCACCCACATGGCAGCTAATAACTGATAGATAAAAATCCAGCTCCTACAACAACAATTATCCTCCCTAGCTGAAATTGCACTCCAGAACAGGCGAGCCCTGGATCTATTAACTGCAGAAAAAGGGGGAACCTGTATTTTTCTGGGTGAAGAATGCTGTTATTTTATCAACCAACCCAGTAAGGTCGAACATGATATAGAACAACTTAAAGAGGTAGCAAAAAATCTTTCACTTAAAAATTCCCAGTACCAACAGTCATCTCAATGGGACACTTTTACAGGATTAACTCCTTGGCTTCTGCCGTTATTGGGCCCTCTGCTTTCTATCACTTTGGTGCTAACCATTGCTCTTTGCCTTGTCAGATATTTTCAGGACCAGATCCGAAAACTAACACATACTAATTTTAATCAGTTATTACTTTCCTTCCCTTCACATGTATACGAACACCTGTCAACCATCAAGGACCCTGTTCAGGTGCACGGAGAGACAACCCCAGCTGCCTAGTGGACCCCTAAACCAGCCTACCCCCCACGTCGACCTTGTCCAGCCGGAAGTAGCAAGATGACAACGGCGCCCTCTATCCTATAACACAAAAGGCTGGAATATTAGGGTTTCAAACAGCAGCAGCTTCCCCCGCTCCCCAACAGGGAACTATGGACTTTTGAAGCCTGAAAAAGGGAACTGAGCTGATAAGCACCTTGGCCTTTGAAGTCAAGGGAAACAGCCTCTGCTAAGAAGCAGCCTGCCTTTCCTCTGATCTCCAAAGACAAGATAAGCAGATTCTACCTGTTAACCAGAGATTTTAGGAGCTGTTTAGCACAGCAGCTTTTCCCTTATCTTAAGAGGAAAAAAGTAAACACTTCCTGACCCAGATCCTGGCTGACAGACTGAACCGAGCCAGGTTTACAAGCCCTGCTTTTCCTGCTTCCCCCTGCTTGATTTTTCCCCCAAACTCCCCCCCTTCTGTACCCTGAACCCCCCCCCATATGTAAGTTCCAGCTCACAACCCGTGGGCTGACATTTTTCCCTTCCCCGAGGGAAACGTGTCCCGTGCGAAATAAAGCTGTATCCCGCTGAGAGTTCTATCTGTGCCTCAGTGCCTCGGCCTCCATTCGCTCGCTCTCCGCCAAAACTTTTTACCTATCAATAACTATCCATAACTTTATCTCCAGGGGATCCAATGGCCTCTCTGACCTACATGGGCATTGTACAATACAGGTGCACTTACCTTCATGCAGGCAGTACACTCATACATATAAAACAAAAATAATAAATAAAATGTTTTTTAAAAAAATTATTCTGTGGACCTTACATTTTGGTAACAGAATACATTATTTAGATAACTACATAAACAAACCATAGGTTATAGCTATGTTGAGTTCTGGGAAAGAGGGCTCCATAGTGCTATAAGAATATATGTTTTGGTCAGGAGAGCCAGCAACAGCTGCTTTAAGGAAGTGAAGGATAGACGGAGACTGGAAGGCACAGTAAGAATCAGCCAGGCAAGGGCAGCAGGGAAGAGGGAATAGGAGACTCAAACGTCTGATGTGGAGACCTCCTGAGAAAAAAACTCCCAGGACCAGATGGATTTACAGCAGAATTCTTGGAAGGCACAGTAAGAATCAGCCAGGCAAGGGCAGCAGGGAAGAGGGAATAGAAGACGCAAACGTCTGATGTGGAGAGGCTGCCTGGGACATTGGAGGAAGTCCAAACCTAGAGGGGTAAGGGAGCGTGATGTCGAATGAGACTGAAGAGGCAGGCAAGGGGCAAAGCTCAGAGCTCGTGAGGACTTGGCTCCTTACTCTCTGAACAACAGGATACTTTTGAAGTGCTGTGAGCAGGAGAAAGGGAGGAAGGAATACCAACTATTTTTATTTTTAAATCACTCATCTGAACTCTGTAGTCAGTGGAGTTGGCTGTAAAGTTACAGGATGAGAAAGGACATGGATATGCCAGTTAGGAGGCTATAGTGGCAGGTGCAAAGTGAGGTTGAAGGTTTGCAATGATTTTTTTTTAATTTTAAGTTACATTTATTTATTTGTTTGGTGCGAGTGTGTCTGTGTGTGAGCACATGCGCTATGGTACTTGTGTGGAGGTCAGAGTATAACTTTTCTGAGTTAGTTCTTGTGGGTCCCAAAATTGAACTCAGGACCAGGCTTGGTGGCAGCACTCTTACCTGCTGAGTCACCCTGCAGCCCTACAGAGGTCTTGAATTTCCAAATCTACCCTTATCATCCTGGCTTTTCTTTTCTGTTTTCTTTGCTTTCCTTTCTTATCCCTCCCTCCCTGCATCCCTCCCTCCCTCCCTTCCTTCCAGGGTCTCTCTGTGTAGCTCACTCTGACCTCGAACTCCAGCCTCAGCCTCCTAAGAGCTGGGATTATAAGCCTGACTTCTACCCTCACTTCCTATCAAATTACTTATTTGTCCTAAAATTATTTTTGAAAGTTGATTTACCACAAAAGACACAGCTTCAATAAACAAGTTAAAGAGAAATAAAGGATGAGTTAAAGGGATATGAATGGAATACACCAGAAAATCAAGGATAAATATCAGGATTTTAGTCAATACAAAACTTAGTTCTGGGGACTGAAGAGCTGGCCCAGTGGTTAGGAGTACTGGCTGTTCTTGGCAGAGGACCTGGGTTTGGTTTCCAGCACCCACATGACAGCTATCAGCTGTTCATAACTCCAGTTTCAAGGGATCCAGTGCCCTCTTCTGACCTCTATGGGCAGTGTACTCATGTGGTACATCTACATACATGGCAGGCAAAATACTCATACACATTAAAACAAACAACCGAACCAAAAAAAAAAAATTCCAAGTTTTAGCCCTGGCAACCTAAACATAAAAGGTAATAGGATATGTCTTTTCCTTGGTCTGAATATTTAAAGTTCTTTATGATAAAAGTGACATTAAGCAGTATGTTAAGATTGTTTACACCTATGACCTCAGTTCCTGAGTTTGTAGCAGTAACCTATTTAGTTGACTTGTTTAAGTTTTTGAGACAGGGTCTTGCTTATAACCCAGGCTTGCCCCCAGCTCACTGTGTGGTCCAGGATGGCCTCAGACTTGAACTCTTCCTCCTACCTCAGCCTCTGGGATTACAGACATGTGCCACCATACCCAACATCAATCTATTTTTAGTAGTAAATCACATTGGTATTTGATAAAGGAAAAAGTTCAGAAAATTACAGCGCTAAACTGTTTGTGTATACTGTTTGTTACAGACTGAGGAATGGAATGGGGTTGGCAGGAATGCACAGGCTGAAGAGGGGGTGAGGAATACAGATTAATAAGAAGTCCATGGTGCAACCTAGGGTTCCAGGTAGACCCTTACTGCAGGTTCTTGCAGACCTTCCTTTATTCTGTCTTAGATACTTTGGATTTGCCTGTATTTCTAGTCGTTATTTAAATTACATTCACAAATATTTATTCATAGAAAGCATTCTTCATGGCAACCTTATTTATTAGCTGTTCACATTCCAACCACTAAAACATACTTACAAAATCAAGAACCTCAAAAACAAAATCATCTCAAATTACCCAGACAGTCATCCAGGATTCTCTGTGACTCTCTTACGAGTTCTCTGCCCCAAGGGCCCATTCTCCCTGCATTTCCACCACCACCCAGCCCTCTATTTCCCCAGCAGCTTCAGCTGCACCACCTACTGTTCTGGTATAATGTTAGGTCCAAAGGCTCAGGAGGATCCCAGGAGAGCCAGAGAAAGTAGTATAGTAGGGAGCAAGAAGTCAAATAGATCCAGCCGTCAAATAGACCCAAGCCTCCAGCTCTGGAGATAGTGGCATTGATCCATTTTTGATAGTAGATCACGTTGGTGTAGAAACCAGGAAGATTACCACATTCCAAACCCTAGCTTACCACGCTTATCTGAGTCCATACACTGTCCATGAAGCACACCAGAGGCCCTCCAGATTTGCCCTAAAGAAGAAAGAGAGGTCCTGAGTGCCTTAGGGAAAAAGTCTCAGAAGAGCAGTTGGGAGAGATGGAGAGGTCCTCAGAACCCTGAGCCATGCCACTCTGAGGGACCTGCACTTCCCACTGCTTTAGGGAAAAATCACAGGAATTCTAGCATCACAGAATTCTAAGGCAAGAACCTTAGAAAAATAGATTGGTAATTTCCAAAAATACTCATCTGTTATCCCATGAAAATGCAAAATCAAATAAATGTGTTTTTTCCACTGTAAAGTTAAACTTACTCAGTTCAGTAAACTACCCTTGGGTTTTGTTGTTGTTGTTGTTGTTTTGTTTTTTTCTGTTCATAGGTTCTTAACTGTCTTTGTGTCCAATGCTCATTTCTTCTATGAAATACTAAGAACGTTCATTGGTAGTTTGTCTCGTGGTTTTTTTTTCCCTTCATTTTATAACAGCTGTAAGATATAATTCATTGCCACATAGTTTACTCCCACACAAATGATTTGTACTGTATTTACTATGTTATGCAACTATTACCAGAACTCACTTTAGAACATTTTTTTCACCTATCTTCCTCATACACCAAACCATTACCTACCAGCCCCACTTCCTCCCAACCCTTCCAGACCTTGACCAACTGGTAATCTTTTTGCTGCTATAAATTTGTGTATTATGGATAGTTTATAAATGGGCTTTTTGTGTCTTTAAAAAAGTACTTTTTCTCCCAAGATTCATCCATGTTATGGCATACATCAATGCTCTATTCCTCTTTATAGTTGAATAATGCTCCATTATATTGATGTACCACATTTTGTTTACCTAGTCATTAGCTGATAGACATTTGAGCTTTCTCTACTTTTTGGCCATTGTAATTAATTTTGTGTCTGTGTGTACATGTATGTGGATGCAAGGGGTTGATATTGTCTTTCTAAATTGCTTTGTACCTTATTCCTTTAGACAGGGCCTCTCACTGAACCTGGAGCTCACTCTTTAGCTAGACTGGCTGGCCAGTGAGCGCCGCCCTCACCCCCTCCTCAATGCCACTGTTACAGAAGTGCACCGCCCTGCCTGGCTTTTACATGGGTGCTGGGAATGTGAGCTCAAGTTCTCATGTTTGCACAGCAGGCACTTTACTGACTGAACCATCTCCCCAGCACCTTAACTGTTGTAAATAATGCTACTGTGAATATTTACGTACTAATTTTATATGGCTGTATTTTCATTTCTCCTGGAAGTATCCCTAGGAATGTAAGTCCTGAGTCATGCAGTAACTATATCTAAACTTTTGAGGAACTGCAAGCTTCCCAAGCTTTCTCGTTTACATTTTAAGCAAGTCTATGAACCATCCTTCCTATTTTCCTTTTTTTTTTTTTTTTTTTTTTTTTTTTTTCCTTCTCCTAGACAGGGTCTCATGTATCTTGAGCAAACATCTAATTCCACATGTAGCTGAGGATGATCCCCCTGCCTCCTAGACAGGGTCTCATGTATCTTGAGCAAACATCTAATTCCACATGTAGCTGAGGATGATCCCCCTGCCTCCTCCCACCCTCCCTCTCTCCCCTCATTCCTTTCCCTTTTCTCTCCTCTTCCCTCCCTCTCCCTTTTATCATTTCTTCCTCCCTCCCACCTCTTCCATTTCTTTCATGGTGCTGGGGATTAAAACCCAGGGTCTTCCACTTGCTAAACAAGTACTCTGCCAGTGAGTTATGTCTGTATCCCCAGCTGAATTCCAGTTTTTCTACATCCTTACCAACTCTTGTTGCTAATCTTATTATCCTAGTGGGTATAATGTGGTATCTCATTGTGGTTTGGATTTGCATTTCCTTGATTGCTACTATTGTTTTAACTTTTTTTCATGTGCTTATTGATGGAGTGTATGCTTTTGAGAAACATGTTTATATTCTTTGCCCTTTTAAAATTGTGTTGTCTTTTCATTATGGAGATACAAGTGTTCCTTACATATTTTAGATACAGATTCCTTATCATATATATGTCTATGGTATGCAAATAAATATTTTCTCCCATTTCATAGGTCACCTTGGTGGTGTCCACTGAACGCACCAATCTTTTTAAAGGAACTCTACTTTGAAGAACTCTATTTCCTTGCACTTGGTATCATATTTAATGTTGTCTAATTAAGATAAGGATTTTGCCAGGCCTGGTGGTTCATGCCTTTAATCTCAGCACTTGGGAAGCAGAAGCAGGTAAATCTCTGAGTTCAACCCAGTCTAAAAAATGAAAACAAAAACCACAAAGACTAATTTCTTCATTTTCTTGCAAAGTGTCCTAGTTTTATATTAGGTTGCAGATTGATTCTGAGTTAGTCTTTGGCTATGGTGAAATAGGGGTTTGGGTTCATTCTTTGTGGACAGCCCATTGTCCAAACACCATCTGTTAAACGGACCATTTTGTGCTCATGAATTGTTTTGACACTAGTGTCTAACATTAATTGATCTCAGATATAAGGGTTTATTTGGAGCTCTCAGCTGTGTTCTGTACACAGCTCACAGTGTGTCCCTGCTAGTGCTGCTTTGTGGAAAGTTTTACAATCAGAAAGTGTGAGTCTCCCGACCTTGCTCTTCCTTTTCAAGACAGCTTATAGTCACTTGAATTTTCATACGAATTTTAGTATCAGCTTATTAATTTCTTTAAAGAAACCAGTTGGGATTCCGACAGGTGTTGTGTTTATAGACTGACTGGGAGCATCCTGTCAGGTAAACTGTGTTACATCTTCTGATCACTGAACCTGAAGTGCCCTTTCATTTTAGATTTCCTCTGATTTTTTTTTTAACAGTGTTTCAGTTTCCCATGTATAAGGTTCTGTTTCTTTTGTTAAAATTTTTTCAAGTAGTTCATTTAATTCAGTTATTTTTGATTCTGAGGAATGAACCCAAGCTCGTACTCACGGGAGACATGTATTCCGTAGCTCGGCTATACCCCCAGCCCCTCTTAGGTACTTTATTCTTTTTTGATACTATTCTAAGTGGAATATTGTTTCTTAATTTTCTCTTTAGGCTATTTAGTGCAACTATATAGAAATATAGTTGCCTTTTATATATTGTTCCTATATCTGACAACTTTACTCAATGTGTTCATTGGAGTGGGGGAATGGATTCCATGTTTTCCTATATACAAGATCGTGTCACCTGTGAATAGTTTTACTTCTTTCTAATCTGGATGCCTTTTATTTCATTTGCTTGCTTAATTGTCCTGACTAGAGCCTCCAGTATAATATTGAGTAGAAGTAGCAATAGTAGACATTTTTGTCTCTTACCTGGTTTTGGGGGAAAACCATTCCATATTTTAACCATGTTAGCTATGGGATTTTATTGCTTGTTTACTGCTTTTTATTTCTCCTTCCTGTGCTGTGCAGGCTGACTGAACTTGTGGGCTCAGACCATCCTCTTGCCTCAGCCTCCTCAGTACTGGGGACTACAGGTACATGCGACCACCTGTGGCACAACTGTGAACTTTTCATAGGAGCACTTTACCAGACTGAAAATATTCCCTTCTATTCCAAGTTTGTCAAGTAGAGTTTTTGTTTGTTTGTTTTTATGTCATGAAGGGTTATTGGTGCTTTTCAAATGCCTTTTCTGTATTATTTCATATAATACTCTGGTTTTTGCCCTGAAGTCTCTTTAATAAGGAATATTACAGTAATTGATTCTTGGGATAAATTTCAGTTGGCTGTGGTATTATATGTTGTTAGATTTAGTTTGTTAGTATTGAATTTTTGTGCCTATATTCATAAAATATATTGGTCTATAGTTTCTTGCAATGTCTGTCCAGTTCTGGTCTCAGGGCAATACTGATCTCATAAAATGAGTTGGAAAATGTTCTCTTCTCTCTCTCTCTCTCTCTCTCTCTCTCTCTCTTTTTTCAAGGACTTTGTGAAGAATTGGTATGAGTTTTTCTTTAAATATTAGATAGTGAAGCCATCTGAGCCTGGGCTCTTTTTTTGCTTGTTTGTGCTTTGTTGTTGTTTTGAAATCACCAACATGACCTTCTTACTTGTTGTGGGTCTATGAAGACAGTTTATTTCTTCTTAAGTTAGTTGTGGAAGTTTGTATGTTTCCAGGAATTTGTCTACATCATCTTCTCTAATTTCTTGGCATACAGTTGTTCATAGTATTACCTTACAATAGTATTACCTTTTTATTTCTTAAAGGTTTAGAGTGATGTCCCCTGTTTTTATTACTTTGTAATTTATTAACTCAGTGTGGAGTTTTCTCTTTTTTTCTGCTTCCCAGTCTAGCTAATTTTTTTTTCAATTTTATTAATCTTTTTAAAGCAAACGTTTGCTTTTGTTGGTTTTCGGTATTGTCTTTCTGTTCTCTAGTTCAGTTCTCCTTATTTCCTTGCCCAGGTGGAGTTTGCTTTTTCCCCAATGGTACATTTCTCTTCTTTCTCTGAGGGAGACTGGGCAGGAGCTACACCACTGCTCTGCACGTTCAGCCTGCTGTTCCAGTGTCTTAGAATGGAAACTGGGTTATTAATTTGAGGTAACCTTGTTTTTTAGCATTGACATTTACAGCTGTCAGTTTCTCTAACCACTGCTTTAGCTGCATCCATAACATTTGGTATGCTGTATCTTCATTCTTATTCATATCAAAATATTATTTCCTAGTTTCTTTTGTGACTTCTTTTTTAGGAACATGTTAATTTCCACAAATCTGAATTTTCCAAAATGCACATTTGATTTTATTCCATTGTTTGTGGAGGTCCTGCCTTGTATGATTACAACCCTTCTAACTGTATCTAGTTGTTTACAGCCTCAAATATGATCTATTCTGGAGAATGTGCTGTATACACTAATGAAAGTGTGTTCTGTTTTTCTTAGCATGCTTACCTCAGAACAACTTTGCTGCAAATAACAATTCTAAATTGTGGACAACATGTAAAAACCAGCTCCAAGAAGGCAACAGAGAATGGACAAAAGTAGAAACTGGAGTTGGTCATTAGACGAGAAGAACAGCACTTTTTGTTTGTTTTTAGGTATTTTGTTTTTGTTCTCCCTGAAGTGGATCTCACCCTTAGTTGGAACTTAAATAGAAACCTACAGTCTTACTGGCTTGAGAATCAGGGGACAAAGCTCAGAGCTACCATAGGATTTAGAAAGTGACAGGAGAGAATGCCAGAAGGGAGAGAGGGAGCTTGAAGCCTGGATTCAGTGTATAAACTCCAATCTCTGCCTGGCCCTTATACTACATAGGCTGAGATGAGACACCAAGCTGCTCAACTCAGGCTAAAAGAACTGCTGCAGCCTCTCATAGAGGGATCCAGAATGGAGTCTGGGGTCAGCCAAGTTCACTATCTATTGAGACAGGAAATTTGTATTCTTATGGAGAATATGACAATCTATAGCCTGAACACTGTGTTGCTGACAATGTCCAGGATATAATCTAAATTTACATCAAAAAGACACAAGAAAAGATTTCCAAAGATAAAGTGGAAATGTTACTCAGGAGAATGGCCCTGAGAGAACTCAAATTTGGGAAATTAGCAAGTAGGGATTTCTAAGCAGTTTAACAGTAACAACACATCTGACAGAAAACAGAAATAGTGATTGGAGAATATTGTAAAGGGCTGCGGAGATAGCTCATTTAAGTAAAGTACCTATGGACTTGAGTTTGATCCTCAGAACTCATATTAAAAAACAGCTGGGTCTGTGGCCTGCAAGGTGGCTCACTGGCTAAGTCACTTGCTGCCAAGCCTGATGGCCTTAGTTCAGTCCCCGAAGCCCACATGGCAGAAGGAGAAAACTAACTCCTATATGTTGTCTCCTGTCCTCCACATGTGTGCTGGGGCATGCACACCCACCCCACCCCCTGCCCACCCCAAATAAATAAGTCAATGTTTTTTTTAAAGCTGGATGTGGTGACACACTTATAATCCTAGCACTGGGGAGGCAGAGACAGGCATCCCTTGGGCTCGGTGGCCTGTCAGCTTAGCCTGTATGGTAAGTTTCAGGCCAATGAGAGACACTATCTGGAAAAAAAAACAATGTCTATGGACAGCACTTGAGGAATGGTATTGATACCAGAAGGTGTTCTCTGGCTTCCACATGCATGTGTGTACTACATGTACACAAGTACCCACACAGACAAAATTTAAAAATTTAAAGAGAGAGAGAGAGAGAGAGAGAGAGAGAGAGAGAGAGAGACTGACCTAATGACCACCCTAGAATTTTTAAAAAAACAAAATAAAAAAAGGTAGGACCGTAGGAGAAGGGTATTATTAAGGGAGAAAGATGGGAAATGGGGGCCCCTTAAGTGGGAAAACCATGATGGAGGGGTGAGACAATGTGAGAGATAAACAATGCCTAGCTAGTTTT